TTCAACCTTAATCTGAGTTTCTGGACAAGAAATAGGGTAAGCAGGTAAAATTTCATTCTAAAACCCATCTTTTTTTGTCTTTTCATGGCTTATGATCTGTCAAATTTGTAGTTTTCTTTATTGGTTTTGAGTGTTTATCTTAAAATTCAAGTTTCTTGGTTCTTTGCTCTTGGTGTAAATCGAATACATTTGTGGAGTCGTTTAAATATGTTGGATTTTAAATATATTGGATTTTAAACTGTCATACAATTTTTTTCATCGATAGTCTGTAATTGGAACCATAACTCTTATTTATTCAAATTGTATTAACATGTAAAGACCAAGTGTAACCTATATCATCGTTAAAATTTATCTTATAAAACCAGTGGAACTTCAAAATCGTTAAAATTCATGGCTCCCACCGCATTGCGCGGATACACAACTAGTAAAATATTAAAATGGTACTCGTGCAATACAGTGAAATATATCTCAATTTTAATATTTCATTTTATTCTGTCTCTATCGATGTTATAATACGATTTTATGTGATTTTAAGAAGAAGATAATTTTTTATTTTTGAATAAAATATAAATTTGGATATATCATAAAACTTTGAAAAAATATATATTGGTATTAGTCTTAAATTAGTTATTTAAAACTTCTCATTTTCTTAATAATTTATTTAATTCAAATTTCTATTATAATTTAATTTAAGTCTAATAACGAATTAATTTATTTGTTATTTAATAACAAAAATAGTAATTAAATACTCTGTTAGAACTCAATGATTATCCTAATTATATGTTGGTAGGTATGTTTTCATTAACTTGATTGTTCTTCTTTCGTTTTGATATATTGCTGCATTTCAAAAAAACTAGTGAAGCAAACATAAACCAGTAACTATTGACAAAATACTGATAGACTAGGGAGGGATAGGCATGGCAACCCGGGGGGGGGGGGTTGTAATCTCCGGGCCCGACCCGATTTGAAGTAACATTCCCCGACAGGTACGGGGATTAACATTCCGTCCCCGGTCCAACGTATGTCAATCCTCGGTCAAACCCTATATAAATAATATCCTTTAATTTGATTCTGCCTCGAATCCCAGACCCTGGTTTGAGTAACATCCCCCGGCCCCGACCCCGTTCCTGGTTTAAGCCTACTGGGGATCCCTGGCCCCAGCCCCGGGACCCGTTTTAGCGGTGAATCCCCGTCCCCGTTCGGGCCTGGTGAACCGGGTTCTCCACCGGGTCGGAGCAAATCACCATCTCTAATGAGGGACTACGATAAAAGGAACATGGTCACTGATATTGAGTTGGATTCATTTATAGTAAACGTATTTATGATGTATATGGGTTAAAGTGACGAGCAGTGGCGAGAGGGGGCAAACTTTCAAAAAGGAAAATTGATCTGCCACTGTAAAATTTTTGAAGAAGAGTGTAATTTTACGAAGAGATTTTAACCTCCGATTCTCTATTTTAGAAAAATTACAAAAATTACTCTTTTTATATAATAAAAAAGAGTAAATAATGATTTTCGTCCCTATAATTTGTTAATATTTTCTATTTTTTGTCTCTATGGTTTATATATTACAATTTTGGTCCTACAGTTTGCAATTTATTGTTATTTTCGTTTTTAAACTAATTCCTACTTTAAAGTACAATTGTATGAGAAACCAAAACAATACAGAATCGTAAACCACACAGACTAAAAAACAATAAATTATAAATTATAAGCATAAAAATGGCAATAAATTATAAACCATAAAGACACAAACTGAAATTTCTAAGCTACATCGACGAAAATTACAATTTACCCACAAAGGTGGGGGGTGTCTAATTGGTTTTGAGCTTGACTCTAAAAGTCAAAAGTACCATAAGATCCCAGGTTCAAATCTAAGGAGAAATAAAAATCCCCTTGTGGCCATGGAGATTCAAATCCGGTGACTCCGAGTTATCTGCAAAGCAAGTGGTCGTGCTGTGATTAGTCGGCTTGCATAGCGGGTTGAATATTGAGGTTAATCAAAAAAAGAAAGAAAAAAAAGAGGCTTTTAATTGGGCCGGATAAAATCGGGTCAAGGCCCACAAAAACAAAAAGCCGGTAATCCGAACGGTTTCGAATTAGGGTTTTTATTCCTCTCACCTGTTACTTATTCTTTAGCGCCTCCGTCTTCCTCCTCTGCTACAGATTTCAAAACCCTAGGTTCATCTCTCTCCCATCTCTCTATCTATCTCTCACACAGATGAACACACATTAATGGATTGTCATTAGGATCAATCGGTTTTTGTATTGATGATGCTTTTTATGGTTAAAACGGATTGAAAATTGTTGATTTTTTAAGGCTATATTTCTTTTTTTTTTGCAGGTGAGGTGTAAGTGAGAGAGAGAGAGAGAGGCCAAACAATGGTGGAGAAGACTAAAGGAAGAAAGGAAGAGGTGGTTACCAGGGAGTACACCATCAATCTCCACAAGCGCCTCCATGGATGGTACGTGTATAGTCGATTCTTTCGATTGGTCGGTTTCGGTATTTTGATTCCTGATTCATTTGTGTTTTTTCGCTTGTTCCGTTGTGTTTTCCAGAATTTTCAATCGTGGTTACTTTACTTTGAGTCAAATATACATTAAATTGATACGTTATTTTGTTTTTGATGTGATGATATATGTGCTCAATCTGTTGATCAGCTAAACCTTTATCATACTAATTTATTTGTTTCTTAGTTATTGCTATTGTGCTCAATCGGATGCTTTGTGAGTTAATTGAATACCAATTCATATGATAAAGTGAAAATTTCGTGTTTGTTTCTCTAAAAGATCATTGAACTTGTATTTGTGAGTTTATATGAACTGCAACTGCTATAGTTTTCATTCATATCTTAAATGTAGACATGGTGGTCTTTTAGTTTCTGTTAGAGTTGGATGTTGAGATATCGATTGTTGCGTCTTTGATACTTTTATAGCAGCAATTACAACTTCTGAAGGTGCAGTTTTGACTAGCAAAATAGTGTTTGTTAACATATGTTTGTAGTATTGTCAAATATCTGTTCATGTTGTGTTTCACAACTATTTTAAGGACTGTTTCTATAATTATATCGATAGAAGACAGTATATTCTCAGTTATGTTCTCAAAACTCAACTCTTTTGTTATTCTTGATGGCTCACAAGTGAACTTTTGTTAGATTCCACATAGGTTGGGGAGGGAAACCGAAGATGCCTTATAAGTATGAGGGTCTAGATACCTCCTCTACCAGACGGCTTTTAAAACCGTGAGTCTAGGTTTGAGCAAAGCGGTCAATAACTGGTACAGTTGTCCTGGGATGTTATAGATGGTATTAGAGCTGGGAACTGGACTGGTGTGCCAATGAGAACATTGGGCTCCCAAGGGGGTGGATTGTAAGATCCCTCTACCGGATGTGTTTTACAACTGGAATATCTGGTACTATTGTCTTGGGATGTTACAATTGTTGTGATTCATGCTTTTGATTTTTTGTTGCCATCACCCTGATGTGTTGTTGTTAATCAGTTGTGTAGTTATGGCTGTTTTGTCTTTATCCAACACATGGTCTGGGAAATGTCATTGGTACGCCAGACAGCTTGGCCATGTTTGGTTTGACATTAGACTAGAACATGTCACTACCGACACCAAAATAGGTTAAAAACAGAAATCTATGAGACGTGGGATGGTAAATTACTAAACTACCCATGTCAAATTTGAACTATAAAACCTAGCATAGTTCTTTAACTTGCCTACCTCACTCCTGCTTCTCAAGTGCCCTCCCGTCTGTATACCAAACTTGTCCCAGCTGCATATTCACGAGTACGAGAGACACATGCATGGTTACTTTGTTATTCTATGTTTGTTTAGATCTCTTTATGCAAATGCTGCTTTGTTGTTTTCGTTATTGGGCTCTTTAGGAATCCACATTGGTTGAAATTCTGATACGGGTTCTCTTTATAATCAGCACTTTCAAGAAGAAGGCTCCAAAGGCCATCAAAGAAATCAGAAAGTTTGCCCAGAAAGCCATGGGAACAACCGATGTTAGAGTAGATGTCAAGCTAAACAAACACATCTGGAGTCGTGGAATCCGAAGCGTTCCACGAAGAGTCAGAGTCCGCATTGCTCGCAAGAGAAATGATGACGAAGACGCCAAGGAAGAACTTTACTCTCTTGTGACGGTTGCCGAAATCCCAGCAGAAGGGTTGAAGGGGCTTGGAACCAAAGTTATCGATGATGAAGATTGATTCATCAAGTAATAGTGTCTTTTTCTTGAAATATGCAGGTGAGAATGCTTTTATTCGAGTTCAGATTTTGGGGATGTTGGTCTTTTTGTTATGAATGTAGTATTTACATTATATCTTAAAGTCTGGATTTTTGATATTTAGGTAACTTATGTGTGTTGCATGTTATGGAAGAATTTGATACTCATTTATCATATTTTAAACAGAATCTTGAACAAAAAACGCCACAGATAATTTTCTGGTAAATGTGCATGTTTTGGGTTGGTTTGTGCCCATATTGATTAAGGGGTTGTTAGACAGTTGCTGAATAGTTTGGTGTAGAATGATTAAGAGGCTTTTATGATATAGTGTAAAATGAAATATAATTGTTTGGCAATTGTTTACAATGAAGTTAGTTCACTTAATGGTTAAGGGAGGTTTATGATACGTAATCATTCAAAGAGTTTTAGAATCATTAAAAGTTTGAATTTTTTTAACCAAACAAGATTTATCTCATAATGATTATTCATATGTTATCTTTTGATAAAACTATTAAGAAGTAAGTAAACTCATTTGAAAAACAGTGAAGTACATCATGGATTCTGGACCTGAGCCGTTGACCTATTTGGGGGTTCCGAATGACCCAAGCCACTACATAACAGTTCGTTAGCCCGTCTTTAGCTCAAAATATGGTGAATTCTACTTTAATTGATCTCATTCTTTATGGTTTTAATACTGTTGATTGTCGTGAGTTGTAACTCGTTCTTCGATCATCCGTCCTTTAATCAGCCCTTTTTCAGCGTTACATGTGTCCACATTGACAAAACGCTTGTCCGGTTTACCAAGTCACATTGTCTTACCGGATGAATATAGTAAAGACCGATAATTTTACCTGACAAGAGCAAGATAAGGATCAAAAGTTTACCTGACAAGAGCAAGATAAGGATCAAAAGTTTACCCGACAAGTAAGGACGACGATTCTTGCCACAGTTAACACGTTTGTCGGGTAAATTGTTGCATACGATGCCGTTTTGATGGACAAACTTTTCCTAGTAAGTAAGTGATGGTGTTGAATTTTACCAATAAACGCTTACCGGGTAAGTGTTGGTAAACAACTCCCTATTTTGGGGAAAAGTTGGTCGCAGAGCACATTTCCATTGTGAACCAAGGAAACATCGATAACGCACCACGTGTCCATATTCATCGTGAATAACTTACATGAGTTTTAACAAGATTCATTACCGATGTCCCGAATGCATGGTATCTGCACAGTGGTTCCCCTATTCGCAAATGAAATACGGTTTTCAACCAAAACTTGCCCCCATTTAGCAAATGTTTTACATATATAAAAAGCAACAAACCTTGAACAATTATAAATAGTATTTTGATGTTTCTACGCTTACAAACGGGTTTGTAAATTGTACTCAAAGAAAGAACAAAACACACACACACACACACTCATGTTGAACATTAAAATATATATATCTAAAAAAAGTCACGTATTTATTTATGCTGGATTTATATCCAAAATAAGGACCAAAAAATCTCATTCATCTCCATCTAATGTACAAAATTTATTGCATGCCTTCAGTACACCAAAATAACCTTCATTCAATGGGACTTGTAAGAGTACATGTAGCTTCGAAGTTTTCTAACTTCCTCCGATGATTCGTTCATAAGATGATCTACGTAGAGCGAAAACCCGGCTCCACTGCAACAACAATGAAAATCCGTTCATTCGGAAAAAGAAAAAGAAAATTTTGTATCAGATTACTCTCCAAAGGAGTCCTCTAGTGGAGAGAAGGAAGATTACAAGGTATTTTAGAAGAAAATTGTCGTAGTTTAGCTGCCATGAGACTCCAACATGCCTCCTATAAAACCACAAGGATTGGTGCGTAGTGGTTGAGGCTCTGGGGATGTGGTGGAATATCCCATCTAACCAGGGTTCGATTATAAGCATACACAGCAACTATAGCCACAGAGTTTATCAGCGCTGATTTCTTGCGGTCACAGTTTGCCACACCCTTCAAAACATGGCCTCTATAATGGGAGGTTAGACAGAGACTATGCCCCAAAGGGTCGACTACTTGGATATGGTAGACCCTGGTTCTGATGCCATATAGGATATGGGAAATCCCATGAGATTACTTTTCAAAAAGCTCTTTCGGAGATGAGTGAGGTTCCAACATATACTGAGGAGAAAAGATTTGAGTCTAGCTAATGTGAGACTCCAACAACCCCACTCCGACGGAGGCAAGACGAATATTGTGCCCTAGAGTATCGAGTCCCTAGATGTGGCAGACCACGACTTTGATACCATGTGAAATATGCAGAGCCTCATCAGATTACTCTTCAAAAGAGTCGTCGTGGAGAGAATGGAGGTTCCAACATATACAAAGGAGAAAGAGTTTAAGTCTAACACATCACTCTACCATGCGCCTACTCCAACAGGGGGCAGGGGCTAGACGGAGATTGTGCCCAAAGTGCTGCTAAGTCCCTAGATGTGGTAGACCTTTACTCTGATACCATGTGGAATCAAGAGATGCACAAAAAGCCCGAACAGAAAAAGCTTGGGGCCAAGCCATGCCTAAAATCCCGATAGGGTCCTTTTTTCAGAAGACAAAAAAAGCTCAAGCCTAGAAAAGCCCGATTGGACCTATTGTCACACTCAAAAGCCCATCCCCAACCTAGCTAGGGCCCAAAAAAGCTCGGGCTCTTCTTTTGCTTACTAAAAAGGGCTTGGAAGGCCCGTGAGTCGTGCGTCTCTAGTGTAGCCATCGTGTTGCTCTTCAAATAGAGGTTCCAAAATATACAAAACGCTAAGCCTAACTGATGTGGGGCACCAATAAAACTGTTTGTAATTACATTTAAGGCAGGGATTAAACATCGAAAAGAGAGATTATAAAAACAGAAATAGTACCTCAAGGGACCTAAAGGAAGCCAGATAACATCCCATCGAAATGTCGGCAGCCTACAAGTGAAATCGAGCACTTATGAGATTTTAAGATATTAAAGACATTGACTGTATAGTGTAGGAAAGGTGTTTTGTAGTTCTTGATCTTATATAGAGTGCTAATCTAGAGTGTAAGTAAGAAAAAAGTGCGTATGGCTTTCGTACTTGAGCATATTATACAACCAGAAAACCGCTAGCAAAGCACCAAAACAGCAAGAGAACCAAAGCCATCGTCTCTGAGATCGTGAGCTACGAAGCAAGCCAGCTACAGCCATAAAAGACACGAAAACCGCTGCCCACTCTGTCAACGACGGAGATTGAGAATTATGTTATGGCAAATTATAAAGAAATTGTTCGAATACTAGTCAAAATATCTAGAACAGAGATGGGCAAGGACCGGTCCTAAAAAATCTAGTGTCAACCGTCTGGTTAAAACAGTCCGAAAGAGACCCGTCCACCTCAAAAAAATTGGACCGATTAAGGACCGGCGTTCTGGTCTGACCCGGCTTGATGACATTATGGTCTAGTCCTGGACAGATATGGACCAAAGGTCTGGTATTTTTGCCCATCTTTAATCTAGAACACCGTCCACTAGAAACAAAGCGAAGGCATCAGTCAGACTCATCAACCAATATATTTCCATTGATAATAATGATCAAATAAGTAATTTTAAGTTGGAAACCCTCAAATGAAGATATTGTAATTTCACAGGATGGAAGGAGTACATTAATTGCAGGTAAAACTAGCTAATAAGAAGCATATACTCTATCTGTGGCTTATTAGAATTTTTTCTTAAATAGAATGGTTTATATTCAGAAAACTGATACATTCAGTGGTTTAAGTGACAAACAGTAAAATATGGAATTTTGTTTCTTCTCCAATTGCAACATGAATCGATGAAGTCTACTGTGGTCATGTCAATGTGCCACATGCATACTTTAGTCAACTTTCTTCATCACGACACTCGTAAAAGCATATCATTTTTTTTTGGGGGGGGAATACCGGGGGTGTCCAGGCCAGCTTGTGCGCACCTCGACTAATCCCATGAAAACCCTGAAGATAACAACTAGCGCAGTGGCTTTGAGGAGACTCGAACTGCAGACCCATGGAGAGGATCCCCAAGGCCTAGGTTTTATTTTCCGTTTGAAATGGCCCTCAAGGTTTACAAAAGTATGGAGTTGGTGGGGGCGTTTACGGAATGAAGGTTTGATCATATTCAGGTCAAAAAAAGACTCTATCCAAGGTAGGCAGGATATGAAAATTCTGCAAGCATTTGTTATTTGGATCGGAATTTACAAATGGTACCAATTTTATATATGAAAACGTGGAATTTTGATTTCAATATATTTGAATTTATTCTTAAAACCATGTATCCATTTAAAAAGTTACACTTGAAATTCTTTAACTTATATACGAGGTTCTTTATTTTCACAAATATTATTTCTTTTAAATGGTTTAACGAACTCATAAATTCATGTCTTTAACGAATCTTAAATTACTGACTTGTCTATCACCAATGCATGTTTAATGAATATCCATGTTCCTAAGAGATGCCATTTTCGGCAAAGGAAGGTTGAATTGGTTGATGTTCAAGATCAACAAATTCACCCCATATGATGTTTCCAAGAATTTGACATGAACCTAATGATTGATGACAAAACAATAAGTGATGACATGAAAATTGAGGAAGCAAAATACACAGGCATTAAAATCATATTTATTTATTGCTGTTCTCATGAGAAGGTCTAGAATATAGAATATTGGCCATGCAGATCACTAACGAAAGGGTGGCAACATGTAATTCAAGAGAATGTCTAACCTGCAGCAATTACAGTCCATGATTCAATCTCATCCATGAAGTAGGCATGGTAACGCTGTCATAAGAACACGATGTTACTGCTTGATCTTCATATAAAGAAAGACAGTTGATCAATTAAGAAACTCATGAATCCCTTCTGCTTACATCAATCTCACTGGAGAAAGGGAAGGGGGCAATGAATACACTACATTGCATCAAGAAAGGTATCCGGTGTTACAAATTTCTATAGTTGTGATTAACAATTTCCTAAAGAGGGTTTAAGCTGTTTTAATCTCCATGGAGTTGAAGAAACAGCCAAAGCAGACAGAAACAAACATCTATCTGATCTGCTAAAGGATCGATGTGTTACCATTAGTGATACAAATTGTAATTTGACAACTTTAAACCCCAAACGAGTCCATTTTTAAGACTCCTATTACTTATGGTGAATTAGTAGTCAAACTCGAGGTCAGCCCTTAATCCACTCAACTGAATGGTTCAGCAGCTTTAAGTGCATGCATAATGCAATGAACATCAGAAGCCAAACAGACTCATAACCACTCCATTTTGACCACAATTCTAGCAAGGACCTTAGTGTTGTTGGATAGTGCTCAAAGACTAAAAAGTTTAGAGCACAATGCGACAAAATCACGTATGAAAACCATTTTCTTCTAGATTGCGCCTAAAAATTTAGTGAACAGATCAACACTCAGGGGTTATTTGGTTGGTTTTCAAGCCCTGTATGGATAAAGTTGTCTGTGTGGTTTAATCTGTAAGGGTTTTGTTTGGACATTTTTTTATAGATAGCAGGAACGTGTTTTTTAATTGGAAGTAGCTGGTTTGAGAAAAACTTGGCTTTCTGCATAAAGCTCCCCCTAGAAGCTTACTGAATAAGCCACTTTCTATATCATTAAGCTACTACCAAACAGTCATCTATTGCTGACCGAATAAGCTGCGAGTCCCATTAAGCTGCTAACAAACAGGCCCTCACTGTGATCATGATATGTTCGATCAAGTGAAGCCACTCTTTTAGTAACTATGATTTAAATATTTTTATCAAAATTTCATATTGTTGGACACATCATAACTGCCAATTAGAAGTAAGAATGAATGTAACATGTTTCTTTATTCACACATCACAATAACATGTATTTATATATTAGATACGTTTCATCATCCAACATACCAATTCCCATGGCATTGTTGTTTGTCCATGAATGGAGAAAATGAGAAATGCCACAAAGCAACAATGCAAGCCCGCAAACACGCGCTACAAAACATAAAACCAAATATTAATATGAAGATACAACCTTTTATGTAAATTCGGGATTGCAATACAATGGATTCAAATCGGCATCAAAGCCAATTTGAACCTAAACTCGGTTGAATTAATTCCAAATCAAGCAAAAAATGATTAAACTTTGAACTAAACATGGCCCAATACCATGGCTTGGATTGGAATTTGGAATCGGACAAAAATATGTTCAAATTTAACATTGAAACTGCTTCAAATCCATAACACCAAATTGCATGCCCCCGTTCACTAAATAATGTGCAAACTGAGATTCTTTTCTACTTTTTATGATTCAGAAATAACACTACACGATCGATCATATTCATGTGTGTGTAAATTACCCTCCAGAAACGAGATTGTTGAGCTAGAGACCTTTCAAGCGATCTAACCAGCTCCTCCTGCTCTGTGGCGTATTTCTCAGGTAACCAATCAGTAATTCCAAAACCAAAAAAGAAAAAGTGCATGCCATTATAAACCCTAATTATCAAAATCAGGGATCGGAGCCTGGTAAAGCGAAAAAACACACCTTCGGTATCCATTGGATGGAAATCGGAGCTCGTCGGAAGGCAGGATTTTCCGTCGTCGTCTTCTTCGTCGTCATCGCTACCATTCTTCCATTTTCTCGCCAGCCTCTTCATCCTCGACGAAGAAAAGCTTCGCCAACTGCAAATCGTTCATGCCTCTTTGAACACAAGTAATTAATAGAGTAAATTACGAATTTAGTCCCTATAGTCTGTTAATAATTCCGATTTTAGTCCCTATAATTTATAATTTTTATTGTTATTTTCGTTATTGAATTAATAAAGAAATGTAAACCGTTGGTATCAAAACAACGATAAATTGTAAACCATAAGAATAAATATCACAATGAATTACAAACCATATGGATGAAAACCGTAATTTTTAATCCACATGTCGTAATCTTTAACAAACGGCATAGACGGAAAATGTAATTTACTCTATAGATAGAGATGATCATTTGCGGGCCTGAGCCGGGCCTAATTTGTTTTTTTGTCCAACGGGCTTAATAATGTAAACTCAAGCCCCTTTTTCGGGCTTAACAACTTGTCATTGTCCACCCTATAAACGGGTCGGGAGTTAACGGGCCTAAAAGTGTAATTATTAAATAACAAATGTGGAACCAAAAAGTAAAAGAAAAACATCGTTGAAACTAAACTTTAAGCAACTAGTGACTCTATCCATTGTTGATCGATTAAGACTTTTGACATAAGGATGCTAACAAAGACGGTGTATAGCCTTTTGGATCTTTAAGAAAAACCAAAGAGTCCTAATTCTCATTCTATAACTTTAATAATTTAATATTAGAATATAGTAGTATAATTTTAATTAATGATAAAAAAAATTAATTATAAAATATAAATGGGCCGGGCAGACCTGCCCATATTTATTTTTACATTGACCATGTCCGTCCATTGATTATAACGAACAAATCCAGGCCTGTCCATTTTTCTAGATAATGGTTGTCCAAGCTTGTATATCTAGCAGGCCGGATGGGTAGGGTTTAACGGGTCGTTCCACCCATGAACAACTCTATCTATAGAATATGATGTTTTTGGAAATTGCACAATACATCCTCCTACTTATGTTTATTTTCTACAACCCTAGCTTTTGTAATACCTTAAGACTAGGCTTCAAATTTGATCAGCAAAGTTTGAAAATTCATCAAAAAGATCGTGAATCCTAAAGAAAAAATCGAATAGGTTATTATGGACCAAGTTATGTCATTTTTTTGTTTAACTAAATGTAGATAATGTCAACTGATTTTGTTACATCTTAGGTTAACTATACTGGATACTGTACCTTTTGTTCAAATATTAACTCAGTTTTTAAATGCATTGGTAGAGGGGTTATACCCTCTCCAGAGCTAGCGTCATCGCAGGCACATCTATCTGATTCTTGACTCTTATACCATCTGTAACATCATAAGCTACGATCGGGACAGGGACTGGTTACAGAACACATAGACCTGACCATGAATTTTTGATCGGGATCATGACCGATTATGAAAAACAATTCTAAGACCGGGGCTGTTTGGGTCCGAGCCAGCCCAGCTCAGCCCAGCCCAAGAAATCCGTAACTTCAGTCTTCATACAGCGACCAGCCCATTATCAAGCCCAATAATAGAAAAAACAAATGGGCCCATAAGGCCTGTTACCCGACCCCCAATTGTATACACGTATTTCCTTTAAATCCCTAACCCTAACTTTTGCAATCTCGAGTGATTCAGCTGCATCAGAGGTCTAGAGCCAATCGTAGCAGAATACACAAGGAATCAGAGCTTCAAATTCGACATGGGTTAGCTGAAATATTCCAATTTCTTGAAATTTAGTAACATTTACCTGTTTTTTTGATATTTAATTGCTAAAATCATGATCTCGAATCGAGCAATTTAACGTATTTTGCTTTGATTTTGTTTACAGGAAAGGTTCACGGATCGTTGGCTCGTGCCGGAAAAGTGCGAGGCCAAACCCCTAAGGTGGCCAAGCAAGACAAGAAGAAGCAGCCCCGTGGACGTGCTCACAAGCGCATTCAATACAACCGCCGTTTCGTCACCGCCGGTAAGTTTTCCGTTTCACCACTTTAAGCTCTTTATTCATTCATTGCCTAAGAATCAAACCCAAGAGTCGCCACTCTCATTTACCTTAAGGAATAACATTTTCGGTCATCAAAAAGTGGATAAATAGTAAGCATTTATAACCACGAAACTCTTTCGGGTAAGAGTTGTCATCCTCACTTACTGGGTTACCAGGTAAGACTCTAGGTCCATCATTTGGTAAAGTAATTGAATTACCTTGTTAAGTGTTTAGTAAACGGCCCCTTAATTAACCATTAGGCCTTGGCCTAGTGGCCATCTCCTTTCGTAAATGCCTTGCCTTGGGCGAGCCCACCCGGGTTCGATTCCAGGGGAGGACAGGTTGTCTTTTCTGGTGCTTGCTTATGAGGTATGACAAGTAGGGTTCACAAAATGTGGACCACGGGGCCATGAGGTCCCCGCCATTAAACCTTTTTTTTTAAACGGCCCCTTAATTAGTGTTGATCTAATGGCTCAGATTAAGCCCAAAATAACCTATGAATTAGCTTAGAAGGGTATTATTATTTTATCTTCAATTAGGATTGATCCAAGAGTGTAGATCCGTTCTTACCTTTTTCCCATAAAAGATGAATGTTATACCTTAAGAATTTGGGTGTGCCTTTGTCTTTGGATTGAGAAATCATCTTTGTCGATACTAAAGAGTTTGCAGGTGCTAGAATATGCGGAATTTCATTAGATTACTATCCAAAAAGAGCCATTGAGGATAAATAGTATGGTAATCCAACAAAGGAGGTCCTAGAGCGTTGATAGGGGCTAGATGGACACGATTTGTATTTACTTATCTAGTCCCTGGAATCGTAGAACTTGACTTTGATACCAGAGAATATGTGGAACCTCGTTAGATTACTCTCCTAGAAAAGCCCTTTAAAGCGGGGTTCTAACGTATATTGAGGAGAAATTGTCGAAGTCTAACCAATGTGGGACTCTAATAGTACCGATTTGAGCTGAATAAGTGTCTTATTCATCTAGGCCTTTATCCGTGATAGGATATGATATGAGTATGACAAAATACGAGTGATGGACAAAATGGGTAAATAACGGAACTACCCATGTTATATTAAATCCCTAAAATCTTCCGCAGTTGTTTCGCGCACCTACCTCACTCCCACCTGTTCAGTCTAGTGTAGTCGATATGTAGTCCAATATCGTCTGGTATCCGTAGAGAACATGTCTACTTACGTCTCAACCCCCCCCCCCCCCCCCGACCCGACCTTCTGGTGAGACATATCGTCATACTGGGTGGTTTGGTTTGGTTTGGTTTGGTTTACTGAAGATGTGATTGTAGGGAATATCGTTCGGTTTTCTTTACACCTAACAACTTTATTTTCAATTATGCAGTTGTTGGTTTTGGAAAGAAGAGGGGGCCAAACTCATCAGAGAAGTAAGCCGATTGATGCGCCTTTTGCTTAGTCCGATGGAAATTTTAGACCGTTAATCATGTTGACTTTGACCATACTCGCTACTTTTCGTTGAACAATGCTTATAAGTTGTGATGTTGGTTAACGTTTAAGTTTCAACTAAAGATCAGTATCGTGTTTTTGGGAATTTTATGGTCATTTCATTGCAATCTACACGCCTTTCCGTCCCTGTAGTTTGTTGAAAGTTGCTATTTCCGTTTGCCATGCTTTTGAAGTTACGGTGTATAATTCATTGTTTTTTTCACAATTTATTGTTGTTTTTATCCATCGTGTTTATACAACTTATTGTTGTTTTAATACTTACGGTTTATAATTCATTGTTGTTTTCGTTTCATAAATGGTAAATTACCAATGAATTAACCTTAGGGATGATAATAGCAATGAAATACAAACTATAAGGATAAAAATTGTAGTTTTGAAACTACAAGGACAAAAATTGCAATTTTTAACAAGTGAGGGGACAAAATTTGTAATTTACTCAAAAATTTAATAAATTTATTTTAATTTTCATTTAATTAAACGATAATTTTTTAATTAATTAATGTAGTAAATATTTATTTATTTTTTTACTATTCCGTACCCATTTTTATCTGATAAACAAGTTTTTTCAAGTTTCCGAATATCGGTTGTAATTGAAAAGTAGAATATAACATGAGAAATTGATATTCAACTCATCAGAGTTATTATATAATACTAAAAAAGTATTCGTACAATGCAGCGAGATACATCTTGATTTTAATATTTTTTTGTCTTGGTCGATATTATAATACGGTTTTATGTGGTTTTGAAAAAACGTAATATTTTTATTTTTTTATTTTTGGTTTAATAATATAATTTTTTAAAGATAATATTTAAATATTTTGTTAGAAATCAATAACTATCCTAATTATATTTTAATTTTTTTTATATTTAAAATAGAATATTTATCATCTATTTAATTATGTTTATATGCAGTTAGTTACATGAATTCAAACATGGAGCTTTTAATAAGTTTATTTACGTATAATTTACTTGTAATATAGAATTTTAAGTAATATGTATCAACAAACAGTATTTAATGCATAAAAAACGGTTTTTAAGAGTTGTTGTCAAATGTTTTATAATATAGTATACATATATATATATATATATATATATATAGATATTTTATTATATGTATAGAATTTTATTAAGTTATAAATGAAATCACAATTGCATTTTTATGATGGAGTTGTGAGTATTTTCAACAGAGTCTTTAAAATAGAGATTTAAAAATCAAAATATTCAAAAATATTACATTTTTCAACAAATTCTTTATTTTAGATATTATAACATAAGTTATATTATTAAAATATTCAACACGTTTTAGGAAATTCTTCGTATTTGTAGATAGTTTTAGAGGAGTCAAGATTTCTGTTTTCTCTATTTTAAATAAGATGATGCAAATTTCTTATAAAAATAAAATATAATAATTTTAAGCTGTTGTATTACATTGAACAAATTGCATGAAAAAAATAACATACTTTAACTTGAATTCTATTTTGAATAACGTATTTTCAAAACTTTCATTTTGATACCTAAGATATAAAGTATTAAACATTTAAATACCCGAGTTCCCGATTGAACCATTAACCCTTTCTTCTAATAAACCATAATACATAAAAACTAATTTTAGATTAAGATATCCATGTCAACAAATAATACTCAGTTCAATACCACATCACTCGCCACATCAGCATTAGGACCGGACAAATTGAAAGTTTCGAAAGTACGTTACACAAAATGAAAATCAAATTAAAATATATTATTTTTTCATGTAATTTGTCATTTTACGACATGTATATGTTTCGGACAAATTGAATCCATTTGATTTAACGTTTCAGAATTGAACCAAAGAAATAGAATCTTTACATTACAAAGAATTAAGTTTGACTTAAAAAAGTCAAAACAAGCCCAATAAATTTTTTGTAGGATAAAATAAAATAAAAAATAAAAAAAATAAAGAGCTAGTGAATGATGTAGGTCAAGGCCAAAGCAACCACCATGAGTACATAAGCCACTCCTTGATCAATTGTTGCCCCTATACAAAAATACCCATTGTTAATCAATAAATTTTATCATACAAATTACAAAAATACCCTTATATAATGTTTACTATCTTCGAGCTCGATGTTTCGATATACGATAAACATTTTACTGATAACGAACCCAAGATTCTGTATCCCGTATTTAGATTTTTGACCATTTAAACAGATGTCGTCTCATGACTTATATCTGTTTATTCTACATATAACAAAGAGGTATGCATGTAACACATGTTTCACTTACGGGACCCGATCGTTAAAATACTTTCACAATAAAACTCGGTTTTCGTGACTTAATTTCGTCACCTTTCGTAACAAAGTAGTATGCAACCCGACAATTTGCTTTAAAACACACCTTGAATGGTATAACAGTATTATCTGTAAACTGTAAAAATCCTCGACTTGACAAAATAACCGTGTTTGAACATAAAATTCGCTCGTATAATACAATTGTCGTTCATATTAAGTTCAAAATCTCTGGGCATGCAAAATGTATGTCTACAAATCTATTAATTTTCACTATAATCTCTCTGTAAAACCCGTCACAATATATTTTACATCTGAAATCAATACTTATTCCAAATTAAGACCTAGAAATAAGAGAGAGAATAATACCGTCACTTGAAGGGGAAGGAGCAGAAGCAGGTCCCTGAGCATCGATAATCGGAAAAATCAAACACAACAACGTAACAAAAACCGTCACCGTGAAAACCTTTCCGACGCCCTTCATTTCGATTTTTTTAAAATAAAAAATAAATAAATAATTAAAATCTTGAAAATACCCAAACCCTCTAATATCTCAAAAATTCAATGGCTGAAATGTGTGTATAATGAGGTATATATACACACATACATAGAGAATATATAATAATAAATGATTTTATTTATTTATTTATTGCTTAAAAGGTAACGGCCACTCTGTATGTCGTTGTTAATTACGATTATAAAAAAGATTAAATAAATTAGTATTTTTAGATTGGTGCCACGTGTAGGGTGGAGAATGGATGCACGTTAAAGATGCAGGCGTGTAGGTAGATGAGCTGGGATTACACATGCAGATGATTGGTTTCCCACTGTCGTATATTCTTTATTTTCTTTGTCCTTATTTTTTGTTTTTCTTGTTCTATTAAATAAATAAATAAATTATATTTTTATTCATTGTTGAATTTTTTTTATTAGGGAAATTAATAGAAAATGTTAGACTTTAAATTCATCTTTTAGTCATTTTTCTCTTACATCCGCAAGTGGCACTATGGACGGACATATTATAGGGCATACAGTGGTACGTGCCACCGTATTATTCCTCCGTCGAAGAGTAAAAAAAATAGATTCGTGAAAGATGTAACCATATTAATTTGTTGTGTGCCACCGTATGTATTCTGAAACTACATTGAGAACAAAGTAGTGAAAGATGTAACCATATTAAAAGTGATGTATATCTTAGCCCGTTATACTAAAAAGTAGTGTTTACCCCCATGAACGGAAATAAAAATGAAATACAAACTATAGGAACGAAAATTGCAATTTGAAAACCACAAGGATGAAATCCACAAAATTTAACAAACAACATGGATGAAAAACGTACTTTACTCTTCAAAAAAGAATAGAGTAGACCACAAATTTGGTATATATGGTTTGTTGAAAATAACAGTTTATCGTCCTTACAGTTTTGAGGTTACAAGATAACCATCGTGGTTTGTAAAAATGCAAAAAATTGAGGTTCACTTGACTAATCCCCCCGGGTTCGAATCTAGGAGCTACTAAAACCCTTGTAGCCATGTAGGTTCATCTACAGTGACTTCAAGCCATTCATGGTCACCTAGGAGATCAGTCAGTGCACAAAAGCTGCCACATAAACCCATAATTACCAAAAAAGACAGATTTCAGATGTTCTTTAACTAAGAGACAAACGACATGTATGTGTTTTTGTGACACACGTAAATTCATGAGTGATTTGCTCGTCTTTAATGCTAAAATAACACAGATGTCAAACTTTGGTAAGTGAATTGAGGAAAGAGGTCTACATTCTACATTTTTGCGTGCATATAAAACATCGATGAAAGGAAACCCGAAGGGAAAAATAAACACAAGAAAAATTTGTGGTGGCTGGTAGGTGTGCTTAAAAACCTGACCACCCCGATCAATCCCAACCCAACCCAACATGAAATAACTCAATCCGAAGCAACCCGATGTCTAATCGAGTTGTAAAATTTTCAAATCGTAGGTATTGAGTTACTACTATTTGAACCCAACTCAACCCAATGAACCCGATATCCTTTTATTTATTTGATTAATATGATTGTTGAATTCCTATTAATATATACATTAGATAATTATACTATCACATACGCTCTTCATATACTCATATTTTCAATTTATTCACATCTCTATATAACTCATTCGTATACATGTTCAGTAACCGTGAACATATATATATAAATTGAGAAAATTAACTGACTGTTTGGCAGTTGCTGAATGATTTAGTTTAGTATGATTAAGTGGTCAGAATGATAAGAGACTCTGTATGATTTAGTGTTAGATAGAAAAAGATTGTTTGGAAACTGTTCTGAATCAACAGTCTGAATGGCATAAAATTACCATTTTACCCTCAGTCTTGTGTTTAATGAAAATTAATATTTGACAACAGTTTTGAAAGGAATTTCTAAATGGAAAATAGAAAATATGGAAGTCCAATAATTCTTATACCCAACCTCTTGTTTTGGTAAATGTAGAAGTCCAATCCAACAACACCTGACCCCCACTATCATCAATATTATAATATTACTCAAGTTGTACCAAAACCGTGGGAGGGAATACATAAAACCATGGATTGTTTTAATTCCAAATTGTCATCTCAAAGTTGGTTTCTCCATCAACCTAGAAGAAGCATCTGGAGTTGTACCAAGACGACTTGCTGAGATTTTCTTGTTCTTCTCCCTTTTGTTTTCAACGATGGTGGCAGTTGTGCCAAGCTTTACAGCTAAAGTCATACAACATTAATAGAGATTCAGAGAGGATCAAACAAGCTGTAACACCCTCCTCCAAAAAAGAACGAAGAAAATCAAATAATAGCAGACAAAGGGTCAGACCGAGGATGAAGAAGGCGAGAATGGTGAACGAGAAGAAGGTCTTGCTGGTGCGATTCCTACAATCGATCGATAGAACAGAAGCGTCCCTTGGAGAAATCGATGGAGCCAGATCTGGAACGATGATTAGAGAAAAAATAGGGAGGGCAAACCTGTCAAAATTTCACATCTGAATCGTATGGAGGGGGTGTGGGTGAAGGAGCGATTCAGATCTAAACTTACCATTCAGACTTTTTTAAAAACTTATCCAAACAATAAAATGTCTGACCGAATCAGACCCTCACCTCTTAATGGTATCATTAAGAGGTAAACAAACAGCCCCTTAATGTGTTATACGTATGAAGTATGGATACGTTGTATCAAATAGTTGATGATTAAAAGAAGTTATGAGTAGAGAAATGATATATGAGGTTAGAAGTACATTTTAATGTACCAAAGTATCAACCCCACCAACCCGTACGGGTTGGGTTGGGTTGCACTTTGGTTTGAGTTGGGTTGAGTTAAGATATTTCAAATGGTAAGCATTGGATCGGGTTGTTCAAATGTCTTCAATCCGATCAACCCAACCCATAAGCACCCCTAGTGGCTGGTGAGGTCATGCCGTAAAGACCAAGATGTGTCAGAGTTATATTGGACAAGGGCAATTATACGAGCGCATAAGAAGGTGATTTTTAGCTTGTATAACTTTGTAAGAGTAAACCACGTTTTTAGTCCATTTAGTTTGTTAAAAATTATTATATCTGTGTGTGTGCTTTTCAAAATTACAATTTCCATTCTTATGGTTTACACTTCATTGTTGTTCTCGTCCCACATATTTAACGGTAAACACTGATGGATTTAGAGCCTGTTTACTAACGCTTATCCAGTAAATGCTCACCGGGTAAATTTCTTTATCGGATGAACATGGTAAGGGTTTAAAATCTTACCCGGTTAGAGCAGTAAAAGGATGGAGGGTCTTACCCGGTAAGAATGGTGAAAGGATGGAGAGTCTTACCCAGTAAGTGAGTGTGACGACTCTTACTCGGGTAAGTGCTTACCGGATAAATTGTTGCATACTATATCGTTTTGATGCACTATAGTCTTACCAAAAAAAATAAATTATAATGTTGACTCCTACCAATAAATACTTAGTGAGTAATCATTTGAGTAAACTCCCCTTAATATAAAAAACAATAAACAACAATAAAATACAAATCATAAACGCCAAAACCGTATATTTTGAAAGGAAACAAAAACTAAAGCTTTTAGCAAATCATAATATAAAAACCCGAGTTTTCTCTTTGTTTTTTGGACGGGCCCCATCTCGGGGCTACCTAATTCATTTGCTGAACAAATTATAGATACAAAAAATCCTACTTTAGATGTAAAAGCAAGATTCAAACAACGAATCCATTGTCGTCCAGCGGTTAGGATATCTGGCTTTCACCCAGGAGACCCGGGTTCGATTCCCGGCAATGGAACCTTTTTGGCTCTAATTTTATTTTTGTATGATCCTTTTTATATTTCATCCAGTTTATAAAGATTCTTGATATTTCTCTGTAGAATCTTATTTTATAGTTTTATATGTTGGTGGGGATCAACGTTGAATTTTGTTCATGGGGTAACGACCTTAAGTACTACCCACAGTAGGCATTTGTTTATATAAAAGAAAATGATTGAAGAAGCTAAAGTTGCCATCAAATTGCTCAAGTTTTGTTGCAAGTGGTTAATATATAAACCCATTTCAGCGATCATGTTAGCACGAACTATATATATTGTGACTGTCCTTTTCAGGTTTGGCTGTTTCCTGTTTCTGATTAAGAATGCACGCCAACTGTTTGTTAATATGCCAATGAAAGTTTCTTGGATTTTAAACTGCCCCCAATTAATGTATATGCATAAATAATCCGTGTTTGACATGTTTGTGATGGTTTTGGATTCTTATGATCTGTTCAAGTTCCACTTTTTTGACTTCTTGTTTGATCCAATAGTCAACCATAAGTTTTAATATATCAGGGACCCATAAACATTATTCTTGCTAACATGATCAATGAAGTGGTATCTATGGAAGATAAGATATGTGTAGCAAGCTCGTTAAGCACGTTATCCCAACGGGAAAAAGAGTTCAACCCCTAGTAGTTGATAGCAACCAACATCATCAAATTTCCATTATAAATTTTTGGTGAATAATAATGGTCTTCCTTCTCCATTTGTTCTTTTGCTCTGTTACTACAGTGTTTGTTTATGTTCATGGACAGGTTCAAACAGGTTAGCCCAAATTACGCCATTAAGTTTTTGCTTTATTCATTGTACTAATTTTCTGTTTTCAGTTCTTGTCTCATTATCCTGTTGAATGGAAGCAGCTGAAATTTATATTATGATGTTGTATATATTATAGGGTTTGTTNGGGGGGGGGGGGTGGGAATTGTGGGATTGAGCTGGACCTGTCTGTTGAGAATTTGGGTTTCGTGGTTACAATCACTTGGATAATTTCATGGATCGTGTATTAGTAGCACTTCTCAAATGCTATATTTCGACCCTTTATGCCTTAGGTTTCACGAAATCAGTATTGGGATAGTCCAAAAATCACTCTAGTTCTTAGGCAGGAAACTCGAGTAAATATACACTAGATTAACCTTTTTATGTATATGTAAGAGAGATCGACGGTTACACAGGGTAGTTTAACTGCCTATGGATAAGGTTGAAACGATCAGAAGCTCTGAGTCCGAAGCTTCTGATGCGAACTTAGCGGCTTCCGGATCCTTACTTAGCCTCCAAACTGCCAGGGGTGCTACCCCTAGGACCCCACAAGGGAGCGCAGCCCCCTTGACCCCCGCCTTTTGGCAATCTTAGATGACAGGGGCAATTTGTGAGTGTGCACTCTGCACCTCCTAACGCACATTAAGTTAACCTTGTCACCTAGTCGATCTAGTAAATCACAATTACACCAAAATGCTTGATGACACTAAAATCACCAACAATGTCCTCTTGCTCCCAAAGGGAAGAGCAGCTTTTTCCGTGAAGACCCTCGCTTGGTCAAAAATGTGAGTGAAAAGGTAAGAAGAACAAATACTTATAGACAAAAAGCAACTAAAAGAGAAAACTTAGTAAGAGGATCAAGGAACAACCCAAATAGCAAAGATCAAAGATAGTCTCGACACTAAATTATTTTGCTTGCTCTTAAACTATAGGCCAATCAATTCCATACGTCCACAACAATTGTGGCCACTGAGTTTATCAGGGCTGAAATCTTACAATCGCAATTTTCTGGGACTAGTCTGCGCATAGCCTGGGACACCCTTTAAAAAAAACTATAGGCCAAAGTGTTTAACATTCATTTGTTTGATTTGGTTGTTTCTTGTTCTATAGGTTATATAAGCATTGATTGTGGCTCACGTGAAAATTTCAACTATGTGGATGATACGGGTATAAGTTACTCCTCAGATGAATCCTTTGTAAGCACCGGAGTCAACAAGAACATTTCTTCAGAATACGCGTACCCAATCAACCCAATTCTCCCATTGCCTCTTTCAGATCTTAGAAGCTTTCCTCAAGGCAACAAAAACTGTTACATCTTAAGGCCCAATGGTGGAAAGAGGAGTTTGAATCTGATTCGAGCAACTTTCATGTACGGAAATTACGATGGAGAAAATAAACTTCCGGAATTTGATCTTTATCTTGGTGTGAATCTTTGGTTATCAGTTAAATTCATAAATGCTTCTGAAGTTGTCACCACAGAAATCATCGATGTTGCTTCAGCAGATACTCTTAGTGTCTGTCTAGTGAATTCAGGACATGGGATTCCTTTCATATCGGCACTGGAGTTGAGGCCACTTGATGGGTCAATTTACAAAATTGACTCTTCGATTTGGGGCTCTTTAGTTCTATTCCAGAGATTGGATACAGGATATTCTAATGGAAGTGGTCGATATGCAGATGATATATATGATAGAATTTGGTCTTCCTACACCTTGCCATCCTGGGACTCGTTACACACATCTTCAGAGATCGATATCAGCGGAAATGGTTATAGAGCACCGTCTGAAGTCATGCAGACGGCAGCCACACCTAAAATTGGAACCGGATCTTTGGAGTTCAGCTGGAATACTTCTGACTCAAAAGCCCAGTTCTACATTTACATGTACTTTGCTGACTTATTTGTATCCGGCAGGAACCAATCAAGAGAGTTCAATGTTTCTTGGAATGGAACTCCTCTTTTTGGAAATGTGAAACCTCGTGCGTACTATGCATCCACGCTCAATAATTTGAGACCTTTGGTGGGAAAAGAGCATAAGATTTCCATTCAAAGAAGTGGTAGTGCAAACCTTCCCCCCATCCTTAATGCCATCGAGATATATAGGGTCCAAGAGTTCAGTGAATTCGCAACATTCAATGGAGACGGTACACTTTCCTCATCATGTTTGCTAACAAATCATGCCTCTTAAACTACAAGGGTTGTGGCGTAGTGGTTGAGACCCAGGGAATGTGGTGGAATATCCGATCTGCCTGGGTTCGATTCCAGGTGTCCACAACAATTGTGGCCACTTAGTTTATTCGGGTTGATGTCTTATAGTTGCAATTTCTAAGATTCCACATTGGTTGGGGAGGGGTATGGAAGTTGCCTTATTAGGAATTGGTACCTCCTATATCAGACGTGTTTTAAACCTTCAATCCAGGTGTGGACAAAGCAGATAAAATCTAGTACGGTGTCCCACGCTGCTATGCCCAGACTAATCCTAGTAAATTGTGTAACATCCCAGGCCAACCGTACCAGATATTGTCCGCTTTGTCCACACTTGGACTCACGGTTTTTAAAACACATATGGTAGAGGAGGTATCCAGTCCTTTATAAGGCAACATTTGTTCCTCCCACAACCAATGTGGGATCTCACATACTAGAACTTCTCTGTTTCATTTTCCGGGGATGGTGTGCTAATCAATGAACTTGTGTTTCCCTATTTCCATACCAAAAAGTTGATGCAATAGCCGACATTAGAACAACATATAAAGTGAACAAAAATTGGGTCGGAGATCCTTGTGGCCCAAAGAACTACTCGTGGGAAGGTGTAGCATGCAACTACACGAATATTAGTCCCCCTCGAATCATATCCTTGTAAGTTGTTTCTTCTTTTGGCCAAAGTGCGTCAAAATGTAATGAAGTTTGCGTTAGTTCCTATTTAGTGTCACATTGATTTTGTTTTTCTCATATAATGTAACAAACTTTTCAATTCTTCCTATTTCATATCCATATTGATCAGTACCCAATAGATTTTGTAACTATTGAGAATGTGAATGATAAGTTCTTAACTTATATTGTAATTTTGGTTACGTGGAAAAATGTGGGTCAAAATCAATTAATGCCACGTAGGCTGAAAACTGTTCATCAAGTAAAATGGGTATGAAATAGGAAGAACTGAAAGTTTGTTACATTAATTGAGAAAAACATCATTACACTAAATAGGAACTAAGGACATGTTTGTTAGCAGCTTAATGAGCTTAATGGGACTCGCAACTTAATAAGCTTAATGGGACTAGCAGCTTATTCGGTCATCTATACATGATTGTTTGGTAGTAGCTTAATGATATAGAAAGTGGCTTGTTCAGTAAGCTTCTAGGGGGAGCTTTATGCAGAAAGCCACATTTTTTCAAACCCGCTCCTCCCAATTAAAAAGACACTCCTTCCATCTATTGAAAAGCCCTCCCAAACAAAAACCTTTCTGATCTATAGAGATGGATTAAACCACACAGATTAAACCACATAGACAACTTTATCCACACACGACTTAATGGAAAAGCAGCCAAACAACCCCTAAGGCAAATTTCGTTACATTCTGATGCATTTTGCCCTCACTTGGACAAAGTATTAAAGCATTTACTAGCCTTTTTAAACCAATGACAGAAATCTTTCCACAAATGATTTGAGCGGGCAAATAGCTGCTTCCATAGCCAATTTTTCATCACTAGAAGCATTGTAAGTACTCGTTTGCTGGCATCCTTTCCCTTTTTTCTGTTATATTTCCATATATTTCTGTGATATGTAGTGATGGTTGCATGTTGTGTTATTAGGGATCTGTCAAATAATAGTTTGACTGGGACGATACCCGAGTTTCTGGAAAAGCTTTCACTTTTAAAGTTCTTGTAAGTTCTTTAACTCCGATTCATCAAAGATTGCCGTTTGCAACATAAAATGTGAGAATATATGGAACCCACATATTTACTCTCCAAAAGAGCCCTTGAGGAGAGAAGGGAGGTTCCAACGTATATAGAGGTGAAATGGTCCAAGTCTAGCCGATGTGGGACTCCAACACACCCCTCCAATAGAGGCTAGATGATATATATTGTCCCAGAGTGTCGGGTCCCTAAAGTGGTAAGACTTTTACTCTGATACCATGTGAGAATATGTGGAACCCATAGATTTACTCTCCAAAGAGCCATTAAGGAGAGAAGAGAGGTTCCAACGTATACATAGAGGTGAAATGGTCCAAGTCTAGCCGATGTGGGACTCCAACACGCCCCCTCCAACGAAGGCTAGACGGGCACAAATTATCCCAGAGTGTTGGGTCCCTTAAGTGGTAAGACTTTTGCTTTGATACCATGTGAGAATATGTGGAACCCATGGACTTGCTCTTCCAAAGAGCCATTGAGGAGAGAAGGGAGGTTCCAACGTATATAGAGGTGAAATGGTCCAGGTCTAGCCGATGTAGGATTCCAACATTCCCCCTCCAACGAAGGCTAGACGGGCACAAATTGTCCCAGAGTGTCAAGAGGGGGTTAGACGGATGAGGGGGCTTGATGAGGATAGATTGCCTCAGAGTTTCGAGTCTATAAAGTGGTAGACTTTTGCTCTGATACCATGTGAGAATATGTGGAACCCACATACTTACTCTCCCAACGAGCCATTGAGGAGAGAAGGGAAGTTCCAACGTATTTAGAGGTGAAATGGTCCAAATCTAGCCAATGTAGGACTTCAACAATAAAATCTAATCATCTATCATTTAGTTAATTCGTCGTATCTAGTTTTGTGGGTCACTTCCTTATGTCAACTTATATTTCCATTTGTTTCAGGGACTTACGGGGAAATCTATTATCCGGCCCTGTTCCACGGTCTCTCATGGAGAGATCAAGGAACGGATTACTCACACTAAGGTTTGGCGCTTTCGTTATTTTGTCATTTGCAAAAAAAAAGCTCTCTCCGTTCCAAAATAAATGTCCACAATGCAAAAGGCACACAACTTTATAAATGTGTAATTATTACACTTTTAAATCAACAAAAGGACAATATTACCCTCAATTATAGAGAATTTTCCCAATCTCATAATTAAGAGTAGAACGGGAAATAGACATTTAGTTTCGAAGGTGGACACTTATTTTGTGACAAACTAAAATAGTAATGGTAGACACTTATTTTTGGGATGGAGGGAGTAGCTTGTTTTGAAATTTCCAAATTTCTGATTCTATTCTAGGGTCGACGACTCAATCCTTTGTGACTCGGGTTCATGCCAAAATAAGAAGAAAAAGGTTGTAGCTCCGATAGTTGCATCACTATTATCGTCTTTGGTCCTCTTACTTCTATTGATCATCATTTGGAGAGTAAGACGCAAAGGAAAAACTGGTAATGTCTTCTACTCTCGTCTTCTAATTGCCCCTTTATACCATTGAAATCTTCAACATTTCTATTTTTGGAAGGTTTTGGAATTTGAATTACTTCCTCTGTCCCAAAATAAGTGTCCATGTTTCTATTTTGGTTTGTCTCATAATAAGTGTCCAGTTCCAAAAGCAAGTGTCTACTTTCTAATTCTACACTTAGTTATGAGATGGAGAAATTCCTTACCCCCTCTATTATCAAGGGTACAATTGTCATTTAGTTAATTAAAAAGTGTAATAATTACACATTTTTAAAACTGTGACTTTTTCATTGTGGATATTTATTTTGGGACAAAAGGAGTACCTATTTATCCATTATAACCATTAAAAATACATGGTGTCTTCTCAGAAACAACCTCTCTATCTCTCTGGACAAAGGTAAGGTATGCATACATCCACTACAACAAAATTGGGTTTATAAGATGTCCAAAATGTCCGAGTGTCCTAATAGAGTGTTTTATAGGACTTAAGTTTATAGGACCAAACAATAACGTGTCCTATGTAAAAGTGTTAGATAAGTTTATAAGACGCTTTTGGATGTCATAACAATTTTTTAGGACATTTGTATAGTAAGATGTTGTATTAGCTAATTTTATAGGACGCTTTTGAGAAGCGTCCTATGAACTTATCTGTTCATAGGACATTTGTGTTTATAGGACGTCTTTTAAAGTAGCTAATATGTCACTTTATTTTTTAAGAATGTCCTAAAAAACTTGTTACGACACCCAAAAGTGTCTCATAAATTTATTGTAACACTTTTAGATAGGACACTTGTTTGTTCCTATGAAAGATCTGATCATATAAGGGACTGCACCTCCACAGAGGTATTTGGCCCCCAAAGGGGATTGCGGTTTTAGATCCTCGGGAAATCCTCATTCAAGCGGGCTCTTCCTCTTCGTTCAAGCAAGATCTACTTTAGTAGATCATATGGATGTAGAAAAAGCTTCTCATTTTGATGAGCCTTTCTTTCTCGGTCGTCTGTCTTAATAAGTTAAGCGGATTCCGATTYATGTGGTCGTTCTCTGCTGCACTGGTCTTCCCATTCATTCCCATCATTCTTCTCCCTAAGAATTGAGAGACTAGGCCAATTAAGATTAAGCTACAAGTGGACTTCGCGGTCCCCGCGAAGCTTAGGGAACTTATGAAGAAGACTGACTGTGCTCTTCATGTAATCTGCCAACTTTATTAGGACACTTATTTTTGACGTCATATAAACCCAATATTGTTGTAGAGATCTTACCTCCCAGACCTTGCCTCCAGGTGGGATATAACGGGAAAGCAAAATCTCAAGGATATATGGAAAGCATATACAAATAACTGAGGGGTTGTTTGGTTGGTTTTTCTACAAGTCCTTATGGATAAATATGTATGTGTGGATTAATTTGTATGTATGGATCGAAAAGGTATTTGTTTGGAATGGTTTTTCATAGATGGAAGAGTCGTGTTTTTAACAGGGAGTGGCAGGTTTGGAAGAAACTTGACAGTCTGCATAAAGTTCTCCCTAGAAGCTTAACTAAATAAGCCACTTTCTATTTCATTAAGACACTACCAAACAGTCATTTATAGCTGATTGAATAAGTTGTGAGTCATATTAAGCTCATTAAGCTCCTAACAAACAGGCCCTAAATCTTGTTTTCCGATATAGGAAAAGCAAAATCAAACGAAGAAGGAAGAGCATTAGAATCAAATAACAGGCAATTTACGTATGCTGAGGTGGTAAACATGACTGATAACTTTCAAACGATCATCGGGAAGGGAGGATTTGGAACTGTTTACCTTGGCCGCTTGGAAAATGGCAGCCAAGTTGCAGTGAAGTTACTTTCTGCATCATCATGGCAAGGATACAAAGAATTTCAAAATGAGGTATGCTAGTAGTAGGAGCATTAAAAAAACAGCCGGACCGCTCAAACCGGACCGTTTTTGGCGGTTTGAGCAGTCTGGCGGTCCGGTCCAGTCTAGGGTTTCAATGTTTTTTTAGCGGTTTGGACCGAAATGACCGCCAAAATACACATGTATTAATTATATTTAGTTTTCATGTTGTAGGCTCAACTTTTGTGACCTAATTAAAAGAAGTCCATCCAGGACATTAAGTTTTTAATTTTCACATCTCAATTGTCCACGTTCCTTAAAATCGGAAAAATCCCTAAATTTGTCAAAAATCAAAATCCAAATTCCAAATGGTCCTTCAAGTTGCTCAATCTTTGTCCAAATTTCCGACATTTAACTATTGCTGATGGACATGTTTAACTTTTTTTCAACTTGGTAAATGTTTTTTTTTAATTTTAAAGATAGATGTTTGGTATAATATTTTTTTGATAATATTATATCGGTAGAAATTTCATTTTTGGAGGAATAAGTTATGTTTTTTTTTGTTTAAAGCTCATAATATGCCCAAACTGCCTAAACCGGTCAGACTAGACCGTGTTTTTGTGGCCCGGTACCTCTCGGTTTGGAAAATTTCCTAAACCACCATTGTAGTTTGGGTGGTGTTCATCCAAACCGCACAAACCGCCCACACCGCACCGCAAAGTGCGGTTTAGAACTTTTGCGGTTTGCATTTTTACCAAACCGCACTATGTGATGCGGCTTGCGGTTTTGGTTATCAAACCACAGTTCAAACCGCACCGCATATTTTGTACATTTTATAATTTATTATTTATGTAATATTTTTGGATTATGTGTTTTGGACTTTGAGTTTGATCCAATATGGCAATTGACAGTGTTAGTAAATTAGTTGGACATGTCACAACTTACACGTCCAATTTAGTTTGAAGTTTATTTTTTATTTTTACTTCTTAGACTATTTCTAATTATGCAATTTGTATTTTATGAGTTGGATGTATTGAAACTCTTTAGTTTTTTGGACCACGGTCACTTTATTATCAGTTTTATAATGTATTTTTAAACTTATAGTTATTGGATTGTCGGTCTAGAGTACGATAGGTGCAAACTGCATAAACTGCACCAAATGCGGTGCGGTTTGGTGCGCTTTGAAGTTTATGCGGTGCGATTTGCGGTTTGGGAGAATGTTCAAACAGCATATGTGGTGCAGTTTGTGGTTTGGCTTCAAACCGCATGGCGAACACCCCTAGTTAAACCTCCCAAATCGGACCATGAATACCCCAGCGTAGAAGATTTGGGATGTTTTGCCCTCACCGCGTAATAAGTAAAATGTAAACTTACTGATATCTGTGGCATAAATGCAGGCTGAGCTGTTGATGAGAGTTCATCATAGGAATTTGGCCTCCTTTGTTGGATATTGCCACGATGAAAACAAAATGGCGCTCGTCTACGAGTACATGGCTAACGGAAACCTCAAAAATTATATCTTAGGTATTGCATAGATTCTTTAGTTAACGGCTTTGATGCTATGTCATTGTTAGGGGCTTTTGGTTGGTTTTTCATTAAGTCATGTATGGATAAAGTTGTTTGTGTAAATTAGGAAGGTTTTTGTTTGGGAAAGCTTTTTTTTATGGAAGGAACGCATTTTTTAATAGGGAAGAATAGGGTTGGAAAAAACTTGGCTTTCTGTATAAAGCTTCCCCATAGAGGCATACTGAATAAGCCATTTTTTATATTATCAAGCCACGACCAAACAGTCATTTATAGCTGATCGAATAAGTTGTGAGTCCTATTAAGTTCATTAAGTTTATAACAAACATGCCCTTAGAGTTCCATATCGGCTAGACTTTGACATTTCTACTTCAATATATGTTGGAACCCTCCTCTCCTCGAAGACTCATTTTTGAGAGTAATCTTAACGGGTTCCACATATCTCACATGGTATCAGAGCCAATGTCCGCCTCTGAGACATCTGTGTCCGAGATTCGTCACTCTAGGATTTTGTGTCTGTCTAGCCTCTGTTGGAGAGGGCGTATTAGATTGCTACGTTGAGTAGACTTGCACCTCTTCTGAATGGCTATTTTGGAGAGTAATCTGATGGGGTTCCACATATCTCACATGGTATCAGAGCCAATGTTTGTTTTCGAGATTTGACACTCTAGGACATCTATGCGTGTCTAGCCTCAGTTGGAGGGAGTGTATTAGATTTCCACATTGACTAGATTTGGATCTTTCTATTTCAATAAATCTTGGAACCCCCTTCTCATCTCAACGACTCTTTTGGAGAGTAATCTAATGAGGTTCTACAGATCTCATGTCATAACGGCCTTCGTTTGTTTTATTGCAGCGAGAAGCGATCATCCGTTGAGTTGGGAATTGAGACTCAATATAGCAATTGATGCAGCACAAGGTGAGTACCTAATCAAATTCATTATGAACCGTTAAAAACCTCCTTTTTATTGTCTTTAGAGAAACAACTGCTATACTCTTTGCGGTAGAGGACAAATCTGCATCTGAGATGGACCTAGAAATTTTTCCAAGTGGTGGCACCATTTGATTATAAGAAACAAATATAGGTATATTTCACAGAAAATCATCATTGGTCTGTTGGTTAGTTTATTGTTTTTCATATGTGAGGTCATGTGTTCAAGTCTTTTATTGCAATTTTTTAAGAAACTTAATAAATCTGAAAAACTAAAAGCTAAAAACGTAGAAAATGACAATAATGAGATTCGAACTTGGGTCTGGGATGGAAGAAAAGCCTTACAAAACAACTCTACTAAGGAGAAACTTGTGTCCTCATAATAGTTTCACAATATATACTGTGGCACACAAAAAATTGATACGATGACATTTTTCACGACCCTATAATTTTTTGCACTACGACGGAGGAACGAAGTGGTGTCTCGACCCACCATATCCAATACACTGGGTCGTCCCTGATCTGCATACATCTCACCCCACAGGGCCAACCTCACCTCACCTCCTAATGGGATCTACTGGATTTGTTTGATTTGTTTTCTTTCATGGCCCAATTTGTTTTCACCATTTAAAATTTTCTTTTTTGGATGTTATTTACACTTCGTGAGAAGAAACACTTAATTGCGTAGAAATAAACATGAAACCCGAAACGTCTTGAATTTCGAATTTGGAGAACTTTCTAGATTCGTATTCTATTGATCAACGTATCATTGGATGAAAGCTTTTCTAGTTTTATCTAAAGACGAAATAAACTTCTCGAATTGCAGGATTGGAATATCTACACCATGGTTGTAGGCCGGCTATAATTCATAGAGACGTTAAGTCGGCCAATATCCTCCTCAATGAAAATTTGAATGCGAAAATAGCAGATTTCGGTCTTTCGATGGGTCTTCCAGATGATCAAACGACTCATATTTTAACAGACGTTTTCGGCACAACCGGCTACCTTGATCCGGAGTAAGTCTTGATCTGGCACTTATTTTGCATTTGCAGTAATTATATATAGAAACAAGAGTAAATTGTGATTTTCGTCCCTGTGGTTTGTTAATGATTCTAATTTTCGTTCTCGTGGTTTAGAACTTGCGATTTTCGTCCCTATGGTTTGCAATTTATTGTTATTTTCGTTCATAGACTAATTCCTGCCCCGACCCTGCTACCACCGGTATGAAAATAAATCCCCGTTACGGGTAAAATTTCCATCTCTCGATATATGTTGGGACCTCGATTCTCTCCTTAAAGATTCTTTTGGAGAGTAAATTTGGCGGTTCCACACATGCACTCATAGATACAATGCGAATATTAATGTAGTTATCAAGATTCATTAACTTATACGAACCTATATATATTTGATATACAGGTACCGTAGATCTCACAACTTGAATGAGAAAAGTGACGTATACAGTTTTGGGATCGTTCTTTTAGAGTTGATCACAGGCCAACCTGTGATCATAAAGTGTATGGATTATGTGCACATTATGCAATATGTGGGCCCGTATCTTGAAAAGGGCGAGATCACGACCATCGTAGATGAACAAATGGGAGGCGACTTCAACTTAGATTCGGTTTGGAAAGCTATTGAAGTAGCGGTTGCATGCACACGAGCCAAGTCAACCGAAAGGGTGACAATGAGTGAAGTTTTGATAAGGTTAAAGGTGTGTTTGGAGATGGAGTTGGCTCGCGGGGGAAGGAACCCGACGAACCACATGAACGTGAAAACGGCTAGTTTGAGGATTGACTATTCGCCCGATGTTTGTTCAATGGATTTAGATCTCATGACCGGACCCTCGGCAAGATGGTGAACCAAAAATTAACACAAACCTTACATGCAAGTACGAAGAAAGAGTCATTCGTCCAATGAAACTTGGATCACTGTAGAGTCCAGCCTTACAGAAAATTAGGGTTCAAATCTTATAAAAAGGGATGAGTGCGTAAGTATTTGCTGTATATAAATTATATACATTTAAATAATGATTTAAAGAGATTGTCTTTTTATTATGTTTCACTGTTATACTTCGTTTTGTATTACAAATATCGTATATGAGTAAATTACGATTTTTATCCCTATGGTTTAGAAATTGCGATTTTCGTCCATATGGTTTGCAGGTTATTTCTATTTTGTCCCTGTAATAAGTCCTATTTTTAAGTACAAGGGACCAAAACATAATAGAATTGTAAACCACAGAGAACGAAACAACAATAAGTTGTAAATCATAAAGATGAAAATAACAATGAATTACAAACCATAGAGACAAAAATCACAATTTCTAAACCACAGGGGTGAAAATTGCATTTTTAACAAACCATAGAAACGAAAAACGTAATTCACTCTATAATAATAACCATCAACATAATTGATTTTTCAACAACTTCCTGATCAGGTGTTGTTTTGGACTTGCGTCGAAGTAATACGGTTTAGACGAGCATATAACATATGTCGAATCCCACACGATTGATATAGGTAAAACAATGTGAACATTATATCAGATGTCATATATGTGTTTATAAGATGGTCATTGTGTATGAAGTAACGGGTAGTTTACTTTTTTTTAATTAAGTCATGTATGGATTAAGTTATCTGTTTGGATAAATTTGTCTGTGTAGATAAAAATGTGTTGTTGAGTCCTTTTTCTTCATGAATAAAATGTCTGACTGACATAAATGACTAGAAACATATGATTTGTCCCGTCTATATGATGAAAATGATGTCTTTAGCGTTTTACATTCACAGTGTTTTGCTGGTGAAGTTTTAAGTGTAAAAATCACGTGTCATGAAAACAGTCTTTATCTCACATGATCCCAAGTCTTTCTCTCTCTCTCTCTCTCTCTCTCTCTATATATATATATATATATATATTATAAATAAGGAATATATTAAACACAATTATAATAATTATTCTTAAAATAATGATCTTATTTTGCTAATAAAAACAAGGTTTAGAAGCTTGTAAAATTTTAACATACATTAGGTGACTTTTAATCCTATTTCAACTAAAAGTTTGAACGATAAAAACTTATACTGATATGATTCTTTGATGATGTTAAAGAGGACATTACATCAAGACTGTGTGATATCGAGAATTCGAGATCCCATTTTATATGGCTAACATACAAAAATACGTCCTCTTTCAGTTTTAAAACTTTAGTCACAGATAAAGTGGTAATGCCTTTTTGTTCAAAATACTGAAATGACAGGTGTTGTACAGTTTGGACTAAAAACCCAAAAAAATTAATGAGTTGAACTTTATCCTTGCAATAATTAATGCCAACACACACATTTTTCAATCAAACGCTGCTTCATTCCTCCTTACATGTATCGCCCATAACATGTAATAACCAATTAATCAACGATTGCCCAATATTTGCAGAAGATGGTCTCGAATCCTGTATACAAATCTACCATAAATATATATATATATATATATATACTGTTTTGGGGTTTTTTATATCATATTTTTGATAATTCTAATTTCTTGATATCTCACAAAAATATCAATAAATATTTTAATAAAAATATAATAATTAATTACACATTGTATGGTAAAAATAAGCTAGCTTATTTTCTGGGTACATGTTTAGATATCATAAGTTAGTTTATTGAAACACTATTTGTAGCAGCATCTTGGGAGCTTATTGTGACTTTTTCCAATTATAGTTCTCATTAATATTAATTATTATTATTACTATTAATTATAAATAAATATTAATTAATACTAAATAAAAATAATTATTATTATATTAATAAGCATTAAATAAAAATAAATTATTACTATACTAATAAAT